TGCGGAGGGCACTGTAGGGATGTAATCCCATCTTGAAGGCAGTAATGGCCATGGAGTCATTGCATGCATCATCTACCAGATTAAAACACTCCCAATACTGCGCCGAATACCCACGAAGGGTTTCCCCTGGTTGAATTTGCATTGCCCAAAGGGAGTCGGCTTGCTTTGGCTGGACCTCATTAGTGATAAACCTTGCCCTGAAGGATTTTTGGAGTTAGTGGAAGCTCTTGATCAAAGTCGGCTCCCGTTTATGATACCACCTGACAGCCAGTGGTCCCAAATTACTCGGAAATATTCTGCACATAAGAGCCTCATCGTTTGCATACAGTGTCATGGCTTGCTTGTAATGGCGGATGTGATCGGTAGGGTCTGATTTACTGTCGTACAAGGTGAATGATGGTGCCTTGAATTTTTTGGGTAGCACTGCCCTTGCAATCCGTCGTACAAAGGGATCGTGTTGGTCTTCTTCGTCTGAACTGTTTCTTCTTCGCCTATGTCTTATACGTGGACTTTCTTCAGAGAAACTGGTAGTTTCGGGTCGTCCCTTCTTCTTGGGCTCCGGGGATAATGAGTCAGAGTCGCTATCAGTGTCTTGTTGTCGGGCTCGAGGCCGTCGACCACCTGCCATCAGAGGTCGTTCCGGATCTGGGTGTACAGCTTGTTTGGACTTTGCCACTTCCAAGGCCATATCCTGACAGAGACGTTCGTTCTTAGCGATCATATTCTCCAACCTCTGTTCATTTTGCTTTGCTTGTTCCATGCTCTCTTGCATTGTCTCATGCGCTGAAGTCGAGGGTGAGGCAAAGTTCAAGGCGCGCCTTGCGACGATCGTCTCCGATCCAAGCATGTTTGTTGGAGTGAGGTCGTCTCTCTGTGTGGTTTCGTCAGTGACTATCGGAGGGTCTTCCGTTACGCCCGCCATGGATGTATTTGAGTATTCCCACAGACGGCGTCAATTGTGGAGAAGTGGTTTGGAAATACTCTTCGAATCATGGGGGACGCTCGTGATCTTCAGCTAGTCACCTGAAAAGGAATGAACACTCCGGTCGAGGGTGTCAGAATTAGCACTCCGACGGATAAGTCAATGTATACTCTCTTGATTACTTGTATCTTAAGTTAAGTTTGCTAGTTCTCACATACCTTTCTCTGACTGAAGATCCTATATTTATAGTATTCTCTTTGGGCCTTAGGACCTGGCCCATCCCTGATCCTTTACATGTACTTCTACTCGGCCTTTGTTCTACTGGTTGGAATGCCGGCTATTTTATTTGGCTCTTCAATTGACTAGGATCAATGCCGAATAGAGGCTATGTTCTGGACCAGACTGGTCCATTCGTCTCTATTGGTCCAAAGAAATTCGGCTCTCACAACGTCCAAGTACATGCGTATACATCTTACACGAAAACGAAAACAACACTTGTTTAACAACCTCTACCTAGTCATATAAGACAATCCGTACTCATTTAACCATAACATTGCCAGACTTGATATACACAGATACATCGGGATAATAATGCTAAACAAAACTCTATTTTACCTACCTTAGGCATGGTAAGCCAAGAATACACATTTTCATAACAAAATGCCAATTTACTAGATACCAACTAGATAGTAATGGTACCTATGCCAAGTTCTCCAGGCATTAGCTGGAAGGTAATGGTACCTTTGCCAAGTTCTCCAGGTGTTAGCTGGAAGATACAGATACCTCTCATTCTAAGCGCTGCCAAGTTTTGCAAGCACTAGCTTCTTTTCCTTTTTTTTTTTTTTTTTTCTCTTTTTGTCCTTTTCTCTTATTCTTTTCTTTTTTCCAGCTTCCCCCATGATCACACCACTCCCACTAAATAATCACTTCACCAACCCACTGCTTAATCACTTCACCAATCTACATACACCACACCCTTGTCAAGAAATTAGTAGAATACCGAAGGGGTCGCGCATGAATGAAAAAAAATTACATGAAAGCTACTAAATGTCGGTAGCGCTGTGGATTTTGACAAAAAATTTCTTTCTAATTCTGTATTATATTTTTCTTCTTTTCTAGTTCAACAAAAATGTTTAATCAATTACAAATTCTTAAAATGGCCAATACCCAGAGTTGGTTTTCCACTCCTCAGGTGACACATCAATCTCTCGCCCTCTTTTTCTATCTATTTTTCTTTTATTTTAGTTGTCTAAATCTAATACTTCTCTGTTGCCAAACTATATATATATGTGTGTATTTAATAAATAGAAAACAATTCTTTCACAACACACAGTGGAGATAATTTGTTTGGGTCAGTGAAGACATTGTGTTATTATCGTCGTTAGTGCCAAAGCAACATGAATAAATGGGAATCAGTAAAGAGATTTGCTGGTGTGCAGGTGTTGCTTGGGTATTTGTTGAACTTGGGATAGAATTTGCTATAGTTGGCAACAATGGAGAGGAAGAAGAAAGAATATATATATATATATATAGAGAGAGAGAGAGAGAGAGAAAGGTTTCATTCGAGAGAGAGAGAGAAGACGAGGGTAAAAAGTTCAATTTACCTGTTCTGTTAACAGAAGTTAGTGTGCGTTTTATTTCACAAATCACATAGGGTTATATGGTTATTTCCAAATGTTAGGATGGTAAACCGCACATGGTCCAAACCATAGGAGGTAAGGTGAAGTATACCCTCAAAGATTTTATTGCAAAGTTGTAAAGACGTTAATCTCATTTTTTTTTTCTTACTTTATTGTTTTATTAATTTATTATTATTATGTTTATATATGTATTTTTGGTAAAACGATAAGATTAAAATTGAAAAAAAAATAGAGTAGCACTGAAAAACAAAAGGATAAACTACCAATAAGTCTTAATAGTTGGATTTGATTCTGCTAAAATTTATAATTACTGACATTTTTCTATGATGAATTTTTCAAATTATTGCTGAAAGTTAAAAATTAGTAACATTTTTTCTGATGATTTTTTAAAATTGTTACTAAAACTTATAATTAGTGACATTTTGTGACAATTTTCAAACTGTCGCTGAAAATTAACAATTATAATTTTTTTTAATAGTGTTTGATGGAAAACGTTATTAATTCTCACAGGATCTATTGGATGATAAGTTCATCTATTACAACCTACACGTAAGTCCTCCGCAAAACAAAATAGAGTAGCACGCTAACAATGAAACTATTAGTAACCTTCATTTTTGACCAAATTATGTAGATCAAGATCAAGCTCGTGGTCTGGATCTCCTCACCAGATAAGATACCATAGATTAATTTTTTGGGGGGAAAAGAAACAATTGTGCCTCATTCACAAACTGCAGGTGTACACTCTGGCGTCATTAATAATATATTAAGCTCTCTGAATTGGATGATTTGCCTGAGTTTTTTTGGAAAAGTGCATTAAGAAAATTTGGGAAACATATTTTAGCATTTACTGTTATTATTAATATTATTATATCATTATGATTATGGCTGAATGAAATGTCATGGACTTATTGTTGAAACTTGATCTTGTTTGAGGCACGATCAACTCAGGTAGTGGCTAACTTCTATACAACCGGAGTGAACTTTTTGTAGCCTGCTTGGATGAGACAGTTCGAGAGCATTTTTTTTTTATTGCATCTGAGTAGCCTAATTATTTGAAAATGTCATTTATAAACCAATTCTAGGACTAGGTCTGAAAAAAATTTCATTATCATGAAGATCTTTATGTTTTGTATTGTCATTAATTGTGAGTTAAAAACACTGTATGAATGGTTGGTGAATTTTTATTTATTTTATGAAAGACTCTGGATTGTAGAACTGATCAGCTCATAACATTGAGGTTTGCTTTCTATGTCCAATGGAATTAGATATGTTGATGTGTGGACTTAAAAGACTCCACAAATGTTAATGCAGGATTATATTCATTTTTCTTCTGCAAACTTTGGGTCTTACGTAACAATCCCTCAACTGAACTAGGGCTTAGGTTGTGTTTAGGTGAACAATAGCTCTAGTCATTCTAGCAGATGAGTAGGAAATGTTCACTAGCTGCGTTTGTAAGACTGCTTTTGAATCTTGAATCTTGAATTTTTTTATTTTTAGTTTGGATACATTGAGGGAGTTCTGGCCTACGGAGATGGAATCTTGGCTGTTGTGAGGCATGAACCTTTGATTTTAGAGGCTTAATATATTATGTCCAGTTATGATATTTGTAGTCTTTGAGTATGATTAATGGTGATGTTAGTAATGATTTATTATAATTATTATTTTGGTTATGATTTAAAAAGTTTTTTGTTACATTTTATGTGATCTTGTGTTATGATAACTTGTATATGATATACTGTTTTGAGGACGGAAATTCTGGAATGACCCATATATTTATGTTAGTATTAGTGTACAACTACAAGAAATTCGAGTTTTAGGCATTTTTAAAATGCCACAAAATGTTACAGCAACGTTTAAATTTTCATCGTTGATACGGTTGTCGCAATAGTTTTATCACGTTTAAAAACTGTCGTTAAAACTATTAGGCCCAATTTTTTAAAACGTCACAAAATCTTTGACATCCGCTCCCGCTGCTTCTGTTACAAATTAACATGTGACGTCATCATGACATCATTTAGTGACTTTTTTTTAAAAAATGCCACTTTTTTTGTTTTTCCGTTTTTTTCCTCCTAATTCTAAAATTTGAGCAGAATTACAATCAGTATCTTTTTTGTTTGTTTTTTCATTTTTTTCCTCCAAATTCTAAAATATGAGAAGAATTATAATCAATATCTTGTTCAAAGCATAACATTTCAGAAGATATGCATTGAAGGATTCAATACAGTTATGAGGCCCCGTTTGCCAAGAATCTAAAATACAATAGAAGCCAAAGAATTTAACGAAAGAAGGTAGCTTGAAAATTTAACTACGCACACAAATGACTCAGATTCACATATGCACCAACCATACATCAAGCTAATTAAAATTTTTATACATCCAATATATTATAATCAACACATCATAAAATATTATACGGAGTTGGAAAGTACTCAAACTCGTCTATGAACCAAATTAATTGCACATTTCTTGAGATGTTTACTACACACAATATATCCCAAAAAAACAATCCACGTGCAACAATCAACAATCAACCATCATCGACTAAATTAGACACGGAATATATCCAAAAAAAAACAATTCAATTCATATTGCTACGTGCTACAGTAGTATAGTATTTATATTGCTGACGTGCAATGTCAGTAGATGCATCCACTTCAATTCCTTACATTTGTTACAGAACTTAGGCCAAGACAATAAACCTCCATCACGAGTGTGTATCTCTGCCCTGATCTCTGACTGATTCATCTGCAAACTCTGGCTTCCTGGCCCACCCCTCACCATATCAGTCTAAGGAAAAACCTTCATTATATTAGTGAGACATTAAACAGTCCAAAAAAATAAAAATAAAATAACTCCATTCACAACTTGGAAAGCTTACGTGTAATAGATCGATGGTGTATTGCTAGGGCTCAGGACCCTCCAAAGGCAAAAATATGACCTGAGGTATATTCAGTTTTAGCAGCACACACACTAATAATGTATAGAATCATCTATACACGTAGAACATAACTCTGCTTAGAAAGTTTTTAAAAGAAGAAGCTGTCTAAAAATATAAACACAAATCATATCATGATGCCCTAATGCAGAAGGTTGCGTGAGATAAACTTTGATACATATATATTGTACAAATATCTAATTAGGGAATCATAAAATTATGTATCAGTTCACAAAAATACAAATATATGGGAATACATATGGGATACATAGGTAAGCCATAAATATATGACAGAGTCACACGAAGGAGCACAAAAAACTAAAGGTCAAAAAGTTATTTGACCTTGGAAGAACTCAAACAACAAGCATAGTTTTAGTTTATAATTAAGTTGCATTCATATCATCTGATTTAGCCAGTTTATAAGGTTTCTAAGCCACTTGCCAAATTGAGAAACTAAAAATTCATGAATGCCTCCTCCAGACTGCAAACAATCACGGGGTGGTCAACCACAAGTTTTTGAATTCAAGGATTGTCCCGTATAATATTACAAAGAAAAATATACCTTAACAGCAAAGTATGCCCACACATTTGGCTTGCTTTTAAAACTCAGCTCTGTAAAAAATCCAATGACTTGGTAAATGTTCATAATGAAACAAACCCCCCAAATAATATGATAAGGCGAGGAGTGACTGAGCAAGAAGAAAAGGATGCTGCGGCAAGGAACATAAGCTTCACCTAATCCCAATCTGGTAGGACGGACTCCAGATATCAAGCACCAGGTATATCCGGTTAGTCTCAACTCATGGGATTCTTCTCATTCCACTTGTCACTCAGAACAGGACCAGTAGAAGCTGGCACAAGCTCAGTGCTAGGATGAAAGCCCCTAGTGGGAGTACTTTTTATCGTTCCCGCTAACCTCTTAAGAGTAAGGAAGGCCAAGGAAATGCACTTCTTAATATGAATGGTAAGAAACTGAACCCAAAGAAAGGTAGCTAAACGGGAGTGATTCCTGACTATCAGTCAGGATGACCCGAGTTCTCTGATTTTAGAGCAAGCAGAAGAAGTGGCTCAAAAGCTAAACTGGTATGAAAGGTAAATGGGAGGCGCCCAAACAAAAGAAGACTTTGGCACAGGATTCAGTTGAAAGGTGGAAAGGAAAGGTTTATCCGCTCATAATAATTGTAGAGTCCCTCCGGGTTGGAGGTCTAATAGTAGTCACATCAAGTCCTCCCCCTCTTACTCAAGATAGCTAGCGAGAGGAATACTACTTATTATCCATGAAAGAAGGCTTTGAAGAATGAAATAAATCTTATCTAAGGATAGAGAGGCCCACACCTTCGTTTTCAGATACGAGTCAGCGAGCACTTTCTCCATTTATTTTCAAGCTTGCTCTTCAAACTGGCCTATCGCTCTCCTCTATGAAAAGGTTCTTCCTAAATTACTTTGAATAAGGCATCCATTCCCTTTTCAAATGAAAAGAAAACTATACTTTTTTCTTCATCATTGAAATCCTCCATTCAATCACAGTGCAGTGCTCTAAAAAAGCTCAATCTTTTAACGCTGAAACGAATAGATCAGGAATTTAACCTGGGATCCACCCGTTCCGATCCTTGCTTACTAAACGCACCCCCAGATATGTATGTTGCAAGAACCACATGATCCTTCCATGTGGAAGGGAAGGAACAAAGAAGGCAAACACGAATACTAAAAAGCAGTTCATGGGGACCTAAAAAAATAGTGGATAGAGAGCGCGGAACGAGCTTTCCAAGCATAAAACAATCCTTACCTACACATTACATGGCAACAGACGGAAGGCAGTTTTGTCGTCGTCGTTAACCCCAGGCCCATTCCCATTCCCAATAATCTCCATGAAAAGACTACCATTATTTCCCAACGAACCAAGGGAGAATCAAGGCATGAAAAAACTTTTCTATGATCTGGTTATTTTCAAGTACGTATCATCTGCTGCGTTATCCGCCGCCTCTGCGGCCACCAAAAGAGTTTACTACTCCGTTGATCAATCCAACGCGGCTAGGCATCAGGCTCAATTCGGCATCAGGCAATAGAATCGGAAAGAAAAAACCTTACTCAAAACAAAGAAAACCGGGTAGGGGTCCTTTCAAGGAAATGGGATTCGTATTCTTAACCTACGGATACCGAAAGAAAGACGAGACTTGAAGCTTGAAAAGAAGAAGCTTTTTTTTCCCAACCGACTTGTGCGTGCTATTCCTTCCGCCCTGGTTCAAGGCTAAATAAAAGACTAGCCAAGGCTTACGTAGTGAAAAAGGGAACTAGCTCATTCCCCCAACCTCTTCAATTGGAGCTAGCTATAGAGATGTTTTTGCTGGTAGTGACCCAGATTTAGACGCATTCCAAAAAGAAATTAAATATGGATTGAAAGGATTCAAAAGGTCCGTAGCGAAAAAGCATTTATCTAAAAGATTTATTCATTACTACTACATAAAGAACTACATTACATAAACAACCACATATGTCTTTACTAGAGCTTTAAAAGCATTATGCTAACTACATTAATTATTTAAAAAACATAAAGAAGTAACAAGATAGGCCTTAACAAGTAGACAAAAGATAAGGTAACTACTTTTCTTAATTTCTTCTAGTGATTTTCCTGGTCACCGGGGGTGACAGCACGCACAATGAGTGCTTGCTGCTCCTCCCGCAACACTTGTAGCCTCCTCTCCAAATACCTTATGTTCTGTCTAGCAACGCCAATGCGTTCTTCTGCCTCTGCAGGATCTCTTGCTCTAACATTTCTGAAAAAGAGATTTAACACTCTACAACGCTCTTGAATTTTATTTTGTAACTGCCCATTTTGGTAGCAATTGCAAAAAGCCTGTTTGTAGCAGTCATAGCCACACGTGTTGTTACTCAATTTCTTTGATTTGAATTTGATGAAGACACTTATCGAACCTCCATTTATAAAATGGTAGAATAATCTAGCCATGCAACACGAATTTGATGGTAGGCACAATCCTTATTTTATTAGTTTTCTGCAGTTGATCGGGAAGTACTAGCAGAAGAGGAAAAGGCTGGAGGGCTTGGCTTTCAGTTGCTGCCAGCTCTCTTTGGCTTTGCCCTTGACTTAGTAGGGATGATCCCTTGACTCACGCAAAGACGAGCCTCCCTACACCTTTTCCTCACCGCCACTCTCACGACTTGGGATTTGAACCAAACAAGCAACTCTATTTAAAACTAGCTAACAGAGCAGCTAACTCACTAGCTGACAAAGTGGCTAACTCACTAGCTAATAGAGACTGAACCTTGATACAAAGGCTAAAGTGGTTGCAGAAATGAATAAGCAGAGAGTTCACTAGATGATAGAGATATAAGTTGGCTATCTATTTCTTCAAGTGAGAGATCGGATCGAAAAATCTCGCCCAAAAGTGCCTTGACTAAGGCCAGTCACCGATTTCGAGTAAATCCTCTCAGAACAAATCAAAAAATGAGTTCCAAGAAAGCGGTCGTTCACGTCAGGTTGATGTAGTTGCTTGTAGTCTAATTTTGTCGAGATTGTGTTGGTGTTCCGTGTACCTGAGTACAAGATCGAAAGCTTTGCATTCTTTCTTTTTTTTCGGTATACTGCTCCGCAAGCAAGGAGCGAAAGAACCAAAGATCGGTGATGATGTTAGAATTTTCACCTATTTATTTAGAGATCGGTCTGCTAGTTTCTTTGATTCTACTCGGTGTTCCTTTTTCCAACAGTTCAACCTATCCCATTTTCATTCCTTTCCTCTTCCTAGCCACTATAGTTTTGTTTTTTTATCATTTTTGTCTGAAAATAGGTTTGATTTGCTTCACACTTGATAGAAGCACTAGTCCCGCACGACTCCCATGTCTACTTGTTTGTATGTCTGCTGTGCTCTTGTTTGAATTTACTGAATCAGGAACTAGCCTAAAGGGTGCATTCTTGAGGAGAAGCGTAGGCTCGGTGCTTCACTCGATAGAAGCGCGGAGAAAAGAAGGAATAGTGCAGCTAGTTTCTAATTCAAGGGCAAAGCCAAAGAGAGCCAACAACAACTGAAAGCCAAGCCCTCCAGCCTTTCCCTCTTCTGCTAGCCCTTCTCAATCAACTGTAAATAACTAATAAAATAAGGACTGTGTCTACTATCAAATTCGTGCCGCACAGCTAGATTACTCTACAACTCTATAAATGGAGGCTCGATAAGTGTCTTCATCAAATTCAAATCAAAGACATTGAGTAATAACACCTATGACTATGGGGGCTACAAATAGGCTTTCTGCAATTGCTGCCGAAATGGGACAACTGCAAAATAAAATTCAAGAGCATCGTAGAGAGCTAAATCTCTTTTTGAGAAATGTTAGAGCAAGAGATCCTACAGAGACAGAAGAACGCATTGGTGCTGTCAGAGAGAACATAAGGGATTTGGAGAGGAGGCTATAAGTGCTGTGGGAGGAGCAACAAGCACTCATTGTGCGTGCTATCACCCTTGGTGACCGGGAAAACCACTAGAAGAAATTAAAAAAAGTAGTTACATATCTTCTGTCTACTTGTTAAGGTCTATCCTTTTACTTTTTTATGTTTTTTAAATAATTACTGTAGTTAGCATAATACTTTTAAAGCTCTAGCAAAGACATATGTGGTTGTTTATATAATGTACTTCTTTATGTAGCAGTAATGAATAAATCTTTTGAATAAATGTTTTTTTCTCTACAAGCCTCTTGAATCCTTTCAATCCATATTTAATTTCTTTTTGGAATGCTCAAAATTCTACTTGAGCATCTAAATCTGGGTCACTACCAACAAAAACATCTCCGAACAAGATTCTAGCACCATACAAAATGTGTCCGACTAATAGAAGCAAATGAACTCTGCCCTAAAGTAAACCAACCCCTTAGATTATGAAAAACACCATCAGATTTCAAAGTAGCACAATCAAATTCACAACTCTCAGGTGTCAATTGGGACCTGAGAGTTGTAACCAAGTCGTACAAGTGGGTTGACAAGGCAGTTGTGTTTAGGCCGGAGCTTGGGAACTGACAATCATCAGTTATAGACAGGTCGTTAGTCATCTTTGCTCCAACTCCCTTCTACTCGTTCCACTCCCAATTTGATCAAACTCATGTGTCTTGATTCAAGGCTCGGATCCTCTCTTAATATAGAAGGAATTCATCCCAAAGCAAGGACCCAAGCTGGGAAGGTGCATAATATTGTAGTGTAAGCAAAAAGATAGGTCTGAAAGCGATGAGCAGCAAAAAGGTAGCTTAACAGCAAAACCCTCCTTTTACTAAAGTAGAGAAGTGGGAGATTGATTCATTTAAGTAGTTAAGGCCATTAGCCTTTAATGGAATCACTAGTAATCGTGCATTAGCATGCCAGCTTTGCAGCTATTTCAGAGTGGGGTAATTTTCCTAAGAATAAGAAAGAGTAAAGAAGTACTTTGTTCGAATAAACGTGTGTCACGAATGAGATTGGTTCTCTTTTTACCGTCCTTTAGTTTATAATTAAGTTGCATTCATATCATCTTATTTAACCAGTCTATTAGGTTTCTAAGCCACTTACCAAATTGAGAATCTAAAAATTCATGAATGCCTCCTTCAGACTGCAAACAATCACGGGGTGGTCAACCACAAGTTTTTGAATTCAAGGATTGTCCCCTATAATATTACAAAGAAAAATATACCTTAACAGAAAAGTATGCCCACACATTTGGCTTGCTTTTAAAACTCAGCTCCTGTAAAAATTCCAATGACTTGGTAGATGTTCATCATGAAACAACCCCCCCGCCCCCCAAAAAAAAAAAAAAGAAAAAAAAAACCCAAAATAAATAAATAGATAAATAAATAATAATAAAAGAAATAAATGAGATAATAAAAGAAAGACTTCTAACTATCCTTGATAATCTAACCTGTACTTTCCCACTAGTAGGCTTAAAACCATCATCTGGATCCTCACTTGTTACACGCACAGCTATATCGTCATGAAAATGGCGTCGGACCTTCTTGTCAATCTTCTTAAGATCAGAAAGTCTGTACTTCGCATTGAGTGGTTCCCTGTTGAACTGGACATCTTTCATATACACATCACCTATAGATCTAGAAACCTGAATCAAATAAAACCATGAAGTTTATAAATAGAATCAGTAATCAAGAAAGCATTCAAGATTCAAATTACTAGCTTCTAAAATGGAGAACATACTAAAACGATGAGTTTTTTTCTTCTTTTTTTTTAATAAGTACTAAAATCTGAGAAAATATCTCTAGAGAATTTTCTTAAAATAAATGGTTTCAAAAGTAATAAAAATCAACAAGACCTGGTTCTTGCATTTCCTTTAAACAATTAAAATCCATTGTTGTAATTTTCAAACTAAAGGCAACAAAGCATGCATGTGGTACAATTTCTACTCTCCATTTTATCCCCTTTCTTCGTAAGGTTAGGAATTAGTCAGTACCATAAAGTGCTAAAGAAACTCATCCAAAAAATCACCTAATTTCTAGTTAAATAGGCACAGGAAAATAATTGACATAAATAACACAAAAAATTGTAAAGATTTTAAAACAAAACACCCAAATCTGGTAAGATTATACCAGGAATTTGCCAGAGAGGAATCCCCGTTTCCCACTGCAACCTGTACTGCTGGCAGATTTATTTCAGCTATCCACTCAGTCACAGGGTGTTCTACCTACAGTAGAGCTTGTTGTAAGAAATTTATAATGATCATGGTGAACATACATGATAAAGAATAGGGACTAGGATTGGATATTATTGATAAAGAATTATTCTAGAGCTGAAACAGAGAACATAAGAAAAGTAAATCTAAGCTGAACTGGACTTTCTACGATCTTGTATGTCGAAGATAATGTAACTTTGTGAAGTAAAGAATTATGTTCTTACTATTCAATTCATTGCTCAAAAGACTTACAAAACAGAACAAGACATGAAAAGTTAAGAAATTTTGTTATTTCAGTTCAAGTCATTGCTCAATAGTCTTAAAACACAAACAAACACCACTACAAACATGTGTATCATTCATTCTAAATTTGAGTTTGAGTTTAGCAACACAGAAGAGAGAAGCCAGATCTGAGTTAGAATAGTAAATATGTAACAAAACTAACACTTCTTAGAAATCACCAACACCATCTTCAGGATTGCAATCTTTGGTGAAAATAATTCATCAAACTACTGCAGATCAGATCCCATGTGAACTGTGGGCTCACAACACCCAGTCTAGCTATTGCTTGCTCATTTGAATTTTGCTCCCTGGCTTTCATTTGGCTAGGAAGTAGTCAACGTTTGGTGACCAAACAATTCAATCCGGAAAATGATATTCAAACAGAATTTTTATACAAAATTTAAGACGACAACAATATAGCAATGACATTTTACAATTATGAACAAATGTGATTAATATTTTTGACTTCCAACAAATCCTTAAATGCTCATCGAAAGCATTCTAGTGGCCGATTGACACTAAAAGACCATAGCTAGGGGAACAAATGGGATTAGATACTTGGAGAGATTTTCATAACGGCTTCAAAAGCTCAAGAGACACTAATAGGTAGACCTCACATGATCTTAAAACTAAGGCCAAGTTTGGGAAGACTAAATAAGTGCACTTTTTGTCTTTTTAGACTAAAAAGTTGATGTTGAAAATATGAAGTTTGGGTTAACTTTTTGACTTTTTATGGAAAAATGTGTAATAAAAAATTGTAAAAATTGATTTGTAGGACAAAATTAGAATTGGGAGTTGTGCAGCCGTAATTGTTGACTTTTGGTGAATAGTGATAACTTTTTAACTTTTTGAGTAACTTTTTAACTTTTTGAGTAACTTTTTAACTTTTTAGCTTTTTGGGGTGTTCCCAAACTTGGCCTAAAGCTAAAACCCTCTCTAGCACCAATTAGTTTTAAGAGAGACATGGTGAAAGCAATATTAACAGATTGAAAGGAACACCTTATGGAGAAAGATTTGGAATCATACACATAACATTGTAAATAAAATAAAATATTAACCCAATAGTACTAAATAAATTCTAAACAAGCACATCAAATATAGAGAGAGAGGGACGTGAATGGTGAGAGACGGATGTGAATGTTGTCTTTCACCATCAAGTGTAGCAGTTATGAGGATAGTAAATTAATGTATCAACCAATCCAGTGATTTAAGTGAGGAGACCCTCCAATGCCAAACAGATCACCATCATCACTCAAATCTAATGTAGATGATAGGTTAAAAGTATAACATCCAATATTCTTCAAACCTTCCAATGTGAATTTTATTCAAGCACATGATAACTGCCAAAAACATGGTGAGAAATTAAATTAGAATTTAAAACTAAAACCAACATAATTCCAAATGTTCAATACCAAAAAAAAAAACAAAAAGCAGCAACTCCAAATTCAATAGCAAGGACAAGCAGTAATCCCATAAGCAAACAATACACAATAATCCCATGTAAAAGTATCTCTAACAGCAGCAGCCACCAATTAAAATAGCAACATTAAATATACAACCTCATTACTAATTTTGAGATCATATTTTGTGAATACATCATTCAACCAGTGGATTTAACAATTACATTGTCAAATTGTTCAAAAGACATAGCCTCATACTAAATTTCCCCATATAACTACTGCAAAGTAAAAGAAATTCAGAAGCCACAAAAAGAAACAAATCGAACACAGCCTATAAATCACATTTGAAAGATGAATAGAAAAGGGCAAATCATACCTGTCATTGTCATAATCCATTTGGCCAAAAAGTATCATTTAGAACACTTGAATTGACAGTGTATTTGGTTTGAATTTTTTGAATTAAGTTTTTTGAAAACTGAGTTTTTTATTTTCGTATTTTTTTGTTTTTAGTGATTATTTTTAAAATTTTAAACATTTTTTTTACTTTTTTAGATGCACCTTACTTAGATGTATCTAAAAATTGTGAAAAAATATTTTAAAAAATTAAAAAATACAAAAAATGTACCGAATTCTTGTTTTTTTTTTTTTTTTTTTTTTTGTATTTAGTGAATTTTTAAAAAAAAAATTCACAAATTTTTTACTTTTTAGGTATATTTATGTTAGCTATGTCTAAAAAGTTCAAAAAAAAAATGCTTAAAATATTTAAAAATTTCAGTAAAAACAAAAAAAACACGAAAATAGAATTTTTTGAAAAGTGTTTTTTGAAAAACCTAACCAAGCAATGAGATTAGTTTTTTTTTTTTTTTTTTTTAACATACAAGCAACAACTAGTAGAACATAAGCAACAACTTTTTTTTTAACACAAATAAGATACATAACAATCTCATACCTGAGTAGTGCAGATATTGTTGGAGGCCTTGTCCCTCCAGATATGTTTGCTCTCTTGTCAGCATTGCCATACACAGCAGATTTCCCCAAACAATTAGTAGAACATAGGCAGATTTCAATTAGACCAACCGTGGAAACATAATTGTATGTTCTTTCCAAGCAAATAAAAATGAGTAAACCAAAAAAACAAAAACAAAAAAGAAACTAGATCTTGATGTTCTTTTCCTAGTGGAGAGGTTGGGTACTCAAAAGGGAAAATCAACAATGTTAATATATAACTTACATGAAGAAAGAAATAGCAAATTCTTGGTTATACTTTTAATTTCTGCCATAAAATTGCACACCCATATAATAAATCATGAAAATCATGCCAAGAAAAGACAATATATTAGCAACATCAAAAAGAACATTCAATTGATTCTTGGAAAAGAAAAATAAATCCTCAGTTAGCAATCTAAACCAGCCACTCAGCAATACAAAAGAAGCCTCATATAAAGTTAAAGGAAGTACCAAAAGAAGACTATTGTGGTGACAGCAAGCAAAAGAGGCTTTTATAAACTAACTGAACGTACCAAAAAGAGCCTTTTATGGACTAACTTGAGATTCTTTGACAAAAATTAATGCATCCAAAACAATAAACATGGGTTTTCAAGGAATAAAGCTACAGATGGGAGGTTAAAAGAGATCCGATACACATAAAACCTTTCACTAACTAACATAGATTCCATGCTCTTCTTCTGCAAATTAAGCCTCAAAGCTTGTAACGATCTCAAATTTATAGCAGAAACAAGCAAAAGACATGAAATGAGGATGGCCGAGTTTAAAATTTACACATTGACAATTAATTGAAGAGAAACCTTGCTGGAAAGGATAAATACACAGGTTAAATCAAATTAGTCCAAAAACCATACTAATCCAATGGTTCAGAAAATTAGTGATCATGACAGGTTAAAGAAGATTCCGTTAGTGAATGATAAATTCACTTATCAAGATGCCTCTATACCGCTATACCAATTTATAAAATAAAATAAAAAATAATAGTTAAAAAAAAAAAAAAAAACAACAACAACAACAGACTAGCAAAATTTCCCAATCTCTCAATACAAAATAGGCGATACAGAACAGTCTAATCCACACCTGTTCTAGTTTTCTGGGAACAGAAAAGCCTATCATTTCATCAGCTGGTTTCCAGCCAGGTCATGGTGAGAACGATTTTGTAGTTGCAGAGGAAAGCTCTTCCGTTGCTGAGGGTGGTGGTTAAGCAATGAAGTCGCCATCGACGCCGTTGGATTAGGCGGCAACATCCTCACCGCACCACCACCGCTGGCGGTGGCGGCGACTCCATCGTCATCGTCATCGTCATCATTCATGCTCTCCTCTGAACTGTCCTCACCACCATCTTCTCTATTACTCCCGTGAATCAACCTATCTCCTCTCCTCCTCTTGCTCCGACTCGACCGATCTCGGTCCCGGTCCCTGTCTCGATCCCGATCATTCTTCACCCAACTGGTCTATCTTCCTCTGCAAAATTACCAGAATCAGAATCAAGAAAAACAAAAAACCGTCAAGAAATTTCAACCAAATCGATTCAAGAATAATCAATGGATTTAGAATTAGATCTGAACAAGTAATCGAAATGGAACCGAGTGAATCTCTCAAAGAGAATGAGGAGAGACACAGAAAACCTAGATCTAGGACACAAAAAAAACGATAAGAGAGAAATGAAGACGGAAAACAAAATGACGGAAAGAGAGAGGGAGAGAAAGGAGACGGAGCACCGTTATAAGGTGGAATGCGTGTTTATAAGAGAAGATAACGCGTGTCTTTTACCGGGGGTTTGGAATGACTTAAATAAGTGTATTTTTTGTCTTTTTATGAAAGGATATTCAAAAAAGTAGAGAGATGATATGATGAAAAAAAAGATAAAAAGATGAATTATTTGGAATTTTCCAAACTTTGTCTTAATTTCTCTTTATGTGTCGTTTGATGCAATAAGAAAAATATGAAAGTTTGAAAAAACGCAGCATACATCATTTGAGAAGATATCTGTCAATTTACCAAACTATTCTTCGTCTTTATGTAATCTCATCTACTGTTGATTTCTTCCTCCTCCTTTAAGTTGCGCTTCCAACTCCTGCGAACAACTCAAGATGTTGGCTTCTACCGCTGACACTGCCTCCGAAATCGCCATCCACATCTCGTCGTTGCCGGATCTGCACCATCAGGTAAGCCGAAAACCCTCTTTCATTGTTGTCTTCTTGCAAATATTGACAGATCAATTTCCATGAAATATTTGTTCAAAAATTAACGGATCAGTTGCTGTATAACTTATATATGCTATAATGTTGCTCCATATTCATTCCCACTTGCGATTTCGACTTGTTTGATGTTTGTATTTCCGATCTTTGGTCGTCGGTGTTCTGTGAACACAGACATGTCTATGTACTCATCCCTTTCGATCGATCACTGTACAAGTAAAACGGAAGAACACTATGTTGCACCAAGGGTTGAGGCTTGGGTGCAACATAATATTGTTGTGTTAATTTCTATTTTAAATTGACAAAAATGCAAAACAATATTTTTTGTATTTTTTATTATTAATGTTTAAAAAAAATGAGAAGATGAATTTAAAAAAGCCTTACACTTGGAATAAACATTTATAAAACTCCAAGGTTTTCTTTTATTGGAAGCGAATATGGGTTTTTATGGTTTAAATGGTCTTCAGACTCCCTATTTTTCTTCTCTTCATCTCTTTCATGGTTTCCGTTAAAGTGGTTGTATAACTTTGGAAAGTGTTGTTCTCTTTCACCATAATAACTTCTTCAATCAGGGCATTACCAATATTTGATTAATGGATTTTGATATGTTAATGGTCAAATTTTAGTCTCGCATAATTCCTTCAAGTAGAAAATCATAGCAACGGTATGATTGCCTTTAAATTTTGATTTTTTTTTTTTTTTTTTGTATACCCATGTGTTTTTTTGTATACCCATGTGGGGCTTGTGGGGAACATGGTGAATGTTGTTGTGTTACTTTCTCTGTTTTCTCCATGACCACAATTTGTTGCACAGTGGATTGAGGCTTCGGTGCAAGACATGATCCTGTTATAATTTTTGTTCTAAATTGACAAAATGCAAAATGGTCATATAATTTTGAATTGATTGGTCAACTAATTTATCTGTTTGTAACCTTTTTTTTTTGGGGTGCGCATACAAATTTTGCAAACTGGTTTCATGTCGTGCTTTTTTTTTTTTAAATTACAATCGTTTATAATCCAGGTACTTTTTATGTATTTGAATAGACCAAAACAATGTCTATAGCAAAAAATAGTGCCAAGATATATATTTTCCTCTTTATTCTTATTATTTTCCTACTTACGAAGCTACTGTTACATTTTCCATCTTTCTCGATGTATAGATCTTTTGGTTCTATAAAATGAATGTGTTTATACTATTGCCAATTGTTTTGTACATTATAATTTTACAAGGTCTTGTTAGTTCAATTGTGACACTGGTTGTATACTATCGGAGTGGAAATTCATATAAAATCTGATTCCTTAATAAGATTTCAATGAATATTTCATACCAATGACTTGTCGAACATTAAATATTAACAGAATTGTACTAGTCATTGTACTAGTCTTTGTTATGCATGCATAAAAGATATGAAAAGATGATGGAAAAAATTTAGTTACCAAGACAATAGGGGAATACTTTTTAGGGAAGACATGTTGCTTGGTGAGGCATTGACGAACCCATGGGCCTGAGACAAAGACACGTGCAGCTTTAACTGGATTTGACTTATACAACAACTTTGTGTAGAAAATACATTCAGTCTCTTTTGTTGCTGACCATAAGGCTAATTAAAAGCCAAAAAAAAAAAAAAACAACCCTACTCATCAACTAATTAAGGCAAACCTATGTAAGTTATACTAAGGCAAAAAACTAAGGCAAATCTATGTAAGTTGTACTAAGGCAAAAAACTAAGGCAAACCTATGTAATTTGTACGCATTGTTAGATTTAAATGTCATCCTCTTTAAAAAAAAAACTGTTCAATACATGAGTTTCTTGTTATTGTATTGCCTTGGCTCCAAAAGTTTAATTGTATCCATTTTACTCTTCACTTCTTCAAACTACATCAAATTAGTTCAATTTATAACATGTACATACAAATTACTAAGATTATAGACATGGCGTCCTCCATGTCAACTGCCACTTTATCATGGCCACCGAGGATGTGTGCATGTCCAAAAAAACTAATTTAGTTCAATTTATAACATGTCTAAAAGCAAAAGAAATCTAATTTTAATTCTTTCACTTATTTAGTTTGAATTCTTTCAGTTATTCTCTTTCATTCCTCACGCTACTTCATATCAGCTCAATTTATAACATGTACAAAAAAATAAAAGGCTTATAGAGATGGCGTCCTCCATGTCAACTTCCAATTCATCATGGCCACCAAGGATGTGTGCATATGGCTTTGGACATTGCCTTGTCAAGATATCTAGATCTGCCAAAAACCCTGATCATGCGTACTATGTTTGCCCTAGTCCTACGGTGCGTTTATGTTGCCTCTCTCTTACGCACTTAGTCTTGTCGTCGTTCATTTGTGGTTCTGTTGCATAGTATGCATGCTAACTATCTACTTTTGTACTACAACGCTATGTTGCGTAGGTTGGTTGATGCGACGAGTTTCGCAATGCCAGATTTGGTACTGACCACCCACATAATGTTGTCGATATGGGGTTACGGCGGACATTGTGCACATAGATCAGTGCCTACGTACGCTTAGGACGATCGTCGATGTTTTATGCATCGTTGTTTTGGTGTTGTTGTTTCAGATGTGATGCATTGTCATGGATGTAATATTCTGCATAGTTACTTTTTGTATCACCTATGTACTTGTTGTCAATTATGTGTACGTCCTGTTACATAACATTTCCCCAATGTGTAATAGAAATCGTCTTTGTCTTTTGGAATGCCTTGTACTATTTGTTGTTATTACTTCAGTAATTGTCTGGAGACTTCAATTTCACTTTTGGGGCATGAAAAGAATATGTACTCTACTTTCTTTTATACTAATATTTCATTAAATTTACAAGCATGATTGCATTTATCCGAACTCTTTCTACACCAAGCGCACTGCTCATGGCAATGAACCGATCATCACCCCGTATCCCTTCCAAGAGTCGAGGTAAGGCTATCACAGCAACGCAACAACAACCAGTCCACAAATGCCAATTTGACAGTGACAATACAAAGTTGTTTCTTCAACTTGTCATTGCTGAAATGGAAGTTGGTAATCGACAACCGTGCAGATTGTCCATGACTGAGTATAAGCATTGGGTGTAAGAACGTTGCGAATAATTTTCTGGAAAAAACTACATTCGGCTAAACAAATGAAAAATACATTTAACAACTTGAAGAAAGATTGGGTAGCGTGGAAGAAGCTAGAGAATGCTAGCCATGGCTTGACAGGGCTTGGGTACGACCATAAGACGGGTTTGCTCACTGCACCTAACCATTGGTGGGCCAAAATGCAAGCGGTATGTATTGCAACCATTTATTTTCCCCATTATTGTTGTACTAGTATTTGTCATTTGTGGTGCCATATGTTGTTCACGTTGCTACTTTTACAAATCAAAGCACTTTTTTAATATACTACTGATATCCAACAAGCTAATTGTGGCACGGTGAGTTTTATTATTTGTAACGTTTTCATTAGTTGTTGCTATAATCTTTATTTATCATATGTTCGGCAACCCACAACTTGCCATGTGTACACTTAATTCTATGCTTACATTTTTTGTTTTATAATTATAACATTTAATCGCTTCAAGTGTTCAGCCTCTTTTACTGTCATTGGTGCTACCCTTTTAGGGCAGCAAATACATTTCCAGCTTTACTTACATAAGTGTTTTCTTCTTTTTTAGATGAACAACCGATGTGCTAAGTTCAAGACTAAGCCTCTAGAGCACGTGGACCTCATAGAGCGGGTGTACTCTGGCGCGACAGCGACTGGAAAACATGCATGGACTCCAACTGAAGTGTGCAATGATGATGCTGCCGCGACCAATGCCAACGAGGATAGCGGGATGGGACCTCTTAGTGCAGGCACACCACCATAGCACTATCGGGGAGAACGTGGTGAATAGTTCCCTCTTCGACAATGCTCCCCCCTCCCAAGTTAGCCGCGAAACGTTGCAAGCGGCCAGTGCTTGGTACTATCGCTAGTAGCATGGACAACCTCGTGAAAGCAATCAGCAAACAAAGCCGGGAGCTGAAAGTGACAACACTGTGGGGGACTGTCTTGCAAGGCTTATGAACACACCTGGATTGGAGCCCGGCGATAAGTTGTTCTCATTCGCATGCGGCATAATGGATTCACCCAATAATCAGGACATCATCATGGCCCTCCTCGTGAATTACATTGTGAACTGGTTGACAAAAAAGCGTACCTGCACGCCGACCAATGTTGGCAGGGATCGTAAACGGGGGACACAACTATTCAAGAGTAATGGTGCTGTTGACTTGGACTAGGCCTCTGTGGTTGGATTGTCATTTTAGTATTTACTATCATAGGACAGTAGTTTATTTTCAGTTGTTGTTTTCGTCGACTGTTTTGTATAACAATTTGTATTATTATTATTATTATTTTTTATTTTTTTATTTATTTTTTTTTTGTTGTGGTGCACATGCGAAACTATTCGTATTTTTTTTTTTTATTTTTTGGTTTGGACGTTTATTTATGATTGTTGGGCACCCATTGTTC